ATATACGTTCTTATAATTAAAATAATATTTCCACTACGCATTGCCAGTAAGTCGCAGTACATATTACCAATTGAAACTTGAAGTACATCACCAATATACCTAGGTACCGTTAAGTAATTTATTTTAGAAACTAATATAACTATTATACATAGGTATATAGCTTATATCCAAATATGAAATAATATAGTATAATGATACACACATTATAATATTGAGAATAAATAAATAGTTATAAGTTAGGTATATTCATTTAAAATGTATTTTCGTGGACACAATTAAACATATTGTAAAAAACAATGACAAATTGTCATTACATCGTTAAAATTACGACCAAATAACCGAAAATGTAGTCTGTGCCAGTCGTGTCTAGTTGTACACTAGGTATATCTATATCGACAGTATTTTATTGCTTAATCACTCTACTATACACATAGCCGCTTTTTTAGAATTGAATAGTTTCTAAGAAATCAGACATGTTTTTGTTTACTTTTTTATGTACGGCGTTAAAAAAGATTAGATTACGAGGTCTTATCAGCCTCTTAAACACTAAAACACGTCTAAAACCTTATCGGCGTAAATGCCGCCGCTACGGTATCGCTGCCACACGCTGACTTCGCGTTCACCTTTACCGCTCAGCTTAACTGTATTATAATATTATAATATTACTTATATTAGTTTTACTCACTTTTAGACTTATACTATATAATGATGGATTTGTTGAAATATTATTTAAACTGCACACAATCTGAAATATTAACTACCTACAAAATATAATAATTATTATATTATTATTATAAAAGAATATTTCTTTTTTTTTTATTTAATACATTTTAATGTGTTAGCATATGAGATATTGCTATTAAAATTTTTTAAGAAAACTTACGAGACCTACATATACTAATATAAGTTGGTACCTACTTGTGTTACCAGCGATGGTGTTAAGTAGGAGGTTGGAAGACGATCAATCATTGGTTATTTATTACTTATTACTTATTAGTTGTTATTGGTTGGTGTTGGACGTTGGTGAATGTTTGTAGTCTGAAATTTGAAATCTGAAATTTGCGAACGAATAAATTGCGAATAATAAATTATAAATATAAAACAATTTTTTTTCTAGAACGCGTTGAATAGTGAATAATATATTATGATTATAATTAAAAATTATAAAATACATATTACGTTTAATGTTTGTACATTATATTATGCATCTCGTCTCTCAAAGTTTGCACACACGCCATCATGCTCATAAACAATTTTTAAATCATCTGTATACGTGGTTTCAGCTGATAACATAATTATTTAGGACGGCGGAAGCAGGTTGTATACGACTATGATCGTGATTAATCGGTGGTTTAGCGAATAGTGGTGCACATATATAGGCAACAGGTTCCCAAAATTTTTTTGGGGCTGAAATTATTGTTTTTGAGACCTATCTGTTGGCCTCCGGGGACTTAGCCTTTACTACAGGAGGGCTGTGGTCACTGAGCCTCCGTGTAGTCGACGCCTATATATATAATATGAATCCATCGTGTTTCGGTTATAGCCTTATAGGTTCGACGGGATCGTTAAATCACACATTTCATGAATTATCAAATGACGTACACATAAATACATCACACTATTGATTTCCATTTGCACGGAGAAATTGCAAATATATATCATAAATAATTCATTGGAAATCGCATTCGTTTCGAAACGTTATTATTCGTACAATAAACGTACATAATAATATAATATTATATATATATAATGTATTAATGTCACTAACCTCACAAAATTACGGGTGCAGTCACATTGAATAAGTCTTGGGGTGGGTCGTGTATATACTTGAGTCCCATTGATTTTACGAGGGTGGAAAAAAATGTAATATTTACACTACGTCACTATATACCTCACGGACAATAGCGGTTACCACGAAAAGCGGAAATGGATAGTTGTATGATATATAATTTGTATATTAATTAATATATTCACAAAAATTTATTTCACGAATTATTTGAGATTAAATATTTATACTTGCGACAGCCAACATGCGAGGTAGTTATATATATTTTATAATATACATTATAATATATTATGTGCAATAGTGCATTATTGTTATCTACATCTTAAGAATAATTGGTGAACAATAATGCACGCGCGTCGCCGCGTCCTATTATTTAGTAGGTAATCAATTAGGTACGGTATGTATAAAATATAAATAATATTATTAAGTAGGTACTGTCGTACTGATATATACAAGAATACAATTTTCAATTACAAATACCTATTGATAATTTCGTTATGCCAAACCCAAAAGTGACTACTTTGAAGAATACACGAATAATAACAACATTACAACAACCTACCTATCTGATTTAAGATATATAGGTATCAATATTTTTATAATTATAATGAATGTAATTGTTTTACTGTTATAGTTGTTTACCGTCATGTATAAACATGTATAATTTTTTGTCCTTAAATCCGAAGAAACTTCGAATTCAACAATCTACAATTTATTATTCTGTAAAACGAATACATGTAGGTACTTTCTGCGTAAAACTATATAATCTGTACAATAGTCGTTTAAAGTATTAAACTATATAATATATCTATATGAATTAAAAAATAATAATAATAATAATAATTAAAAATCGCAAGTTAATGCAAAAACGAATACAATTTTAGATTAATAATATTATTTTTTTTAGTGAACACTAGTAAGAATACAAGATATTTTATGGCGTTTAGAGATGAAATTATGTTGTGAAACACATTTGCAATGCGTATATTTGATCCACATGGGCGCGCACATTAATGTATTAATTATTATACAGCGCCTGCATACAGACGTCTATAAAAAATGTCTCATTAGCTGTTTAACATTTGATACGGTTCAAAAAACCGTTCACATAATATGTTGTTTAACACATTCAGTACATCACGTGTTATTTTTGTGCCGGGGAAAAAAATTTTTTAACATCTTTAATATAAAAAAATTTAAAACCATATTATAATATAATATACGCCATAATATTATATACTGTGAAAAAGTTATAAGAACGAGTGTGTGTGTGTGTGTGTGTGTGTGTGTGTGTGTGTAATTGTTATTTTAATATTGTATAATTGTAATAATTGCACCTATATATCATTTAATTCCATTTGTACGTTTATGGTTTTCACCCGTTTTCTGTCTTCATAGTTTTTACAATATAATGATATAAAAATGAATTTCTCCTATTGCCACACTCCAACACTGTGTCTCTTTAATTGTTATGACCCTTCGGATAAACTCGTGTGCGGCTAGAGGGTCATTTGTTTGGATACTGTATGGTCTGTAATATCACACCATTAGTCATAATAATATACTGGACCGCACAATGCACATAAACTAAGTTATCATCGTAATTCGTAACGTCCGAATAAAAGAAAATTATGTTTTTATATTTCGTATAGTTATCAGTATGGTACAGTACACATACTGTGGTACCTGTGTGGCTGTACCTATATAATATTTATTTTACTATATAGTATATAATAAAAATTTAACTGAACATTATTAAAATGGAATAGCAAAATCGTTTTTAAATATTTACGAGGATATAAAATCATTGCATAATAATGATATTTATTATATTGAGGTTGATTGCGTTTGATTTAAAATGCGTACACTAACTGATTAAATTGAATATTAAAAGGAGAAAAAACTATTGTTCTATTCGCAATAATATAATAATATATAACCTATAATAAAGCATGCCTTATAGTACCTCATATGGCCTATTATTATAGTATAATATATTATATATTATATAAACACATTGCATTTGAACTATTAGGACTCTTATCAAATAGTAAATTCGCTAACGATCACGTTCTAGTACAATATTATATTTCTCTATGCCACGATACTATTTGCCCGGCGAACGCAATTATTTTTAATCGGAAGTGTTTGTTGTTATTTATTCTATAATATAATTGTAGAATAATAACAATGCTAATGCAAATATGTTTTGTTTGATTTTATTTCTCACTGCAAACAAACGTGTTCAGATAACGAAAGAAATGCATTTCTGCCTAAGCGATAAAACGGCATATATCGTTCGCGGTTTATCTGCTTGCATCCATTATAAGTAAGCCAATGAATAATACACAAATCTACATTATTACTCGTTGTAGGTACCTATAGGTACCAATATAATATAATATAATAATATATCTATTAATTAATTAATATAGTATATAGTAAAGTAACTATAGTATACTATACATTATACACGGCTTGGCAGCAGCTATACACCGTAATACATAATATTATATATTATTTTGAGCATTCGACTAACTTGATACGCAATAGGTTCGTGTCTGCCAACATTATACTAGGAAGTAGGTACATACTAAAAATTATGTTAAAATATTATATCGCGAAACCGGAATCGCGAGGGACGGAAGCTGAGAAGGCTGACAGTGGTTAATTACTTGACCCACTGGCCACAAAACTACTTTACTGATTAAAAAAAAAATAGCCGCGATCCATCTAACGCAAGACACTTATATTACTACCTACAGAAAACACTAACGTTTTTGAAAATATTTCTTTCACATAAATTTAAGTCGTTCCGAAACAAATTTTTTGTGTAAAAATGTATTGAAAGTTTCTTACTCTTTTAAATGACAATGTATATTTCATATTCCTAAGCCAATGTTGATCCACTATACCCCTCTTATATATATATTTGAAATACTTATGAGTTATGACCAACGAACTACTTGTCGAAAAAATTTGATTTTTATACATCAAAGCACTTCAAAAAATATTCTGGTTTGGAATAAGGAATTGAAAATACATGGTTGTCATTGAAAAAAGTAAAAATAGTAAAATTATTTTTAATTTTCATATAACTATTTTGTTTTTTAATGACTTACAATCATACAAATAGAAAATCTTCAAAAATGTTATTAGTTTTTGAAGTAATGAGTGTTTTACCTGGTCACCCGGACACTCGCTAGGTACTTCTATGGTTGTATGGCCGAGTCCTATCTCCTACCCCCACCTCCACGGTGTGCCGACTGGAAACGGAATTCCGGTTCCGGCCAACGGGGAAGGCACAGAAGGCAAACTATATAAAACCGAACACCGGTGGGTCAACACCTGCAGCGACCAGAGAGGGCCAACATCAAGCTCCAACCCCCGACAACAGACCGAATGCTCTATGCGAAGGCAACCGGAAAGCGGAGACCCAACGGCGAGACCACTCAGAGCCTCAGTACCATCATCTGAAACTGCCCCACAGCGGCCTTGCGTGCCCCGGGGAATTAGTAGTAGGACACCCACAGCACGGTTGGTCACCGTCCGGGTTATCGCAATTGATCGGGAAGGGGGCTCGGGTCTGTCGCCTCGAGTCTCCGTCGACCGGGCACCCGACGCAACGAGCAGTACTCAGAACGAACATCAGACGGAGGAAACAGAAGGAAAACTGTATAAAACCGAAACACCGGCAGTCAAACATAGACCAGATAGGGCAAACATCGCTCCACCCGACGGAACACCAGCTGAAGACGGAACTCCGGGAGACGAGCAGAAAGCGAGCACACTGGCGCACCCGCACACCCAATCACTTCATCTGAAACTGTCCCACAGCGGCAGGCGTGCCCCGGGACATTAGTAGGACACCCACAATACGGTTGGTCACCGTCCGGATGATCGCGATTGAGAGTGAGAGGGGCCGCGGCCTAGCGCCAGGAGGTGCCGCAGACCGCAAGGCTCCCGGAACGACGAGTACAACAACAACGGGCAGAAGGGAAACTGAACAACCAACTACTGCGAGACGCACCCTCCACACCAACCATAGGAGAAGACGCAAAGAAAGAGACTCGAGGCCGACGGGCTATCAAACTGGGCCGAGAAACCCAGAACGTGACTTGCAGACTGGCAGGCAGCAAAGCCTGGTCGAGAAGTCAACCAAAGCTAACTGCGTGCCATAAGCCATCAATGTTATCTTTTTACTCGTAAAATGTAGAAATAATTTAAATGTGCTCCCATTAAGGGACCAATAATATGGTTGCAAAAATTAATAAAATGTTACATAAAAACTTATTAATAAACGATGGCGGCGTCGCGGAAGAATGCGAAAGCCAGTCCCCGCGGCGGCGTCGTCGGTTAAAACAGGAAAAAAAAAAGGTACTTCTATGGTTGCGATATTTAAAAATTTGTATTGCCCATTGTTTTTGGAAATAATATTATATTGTACTACACTACTACCGCGGCTGCGACTTTGCAATTGCAGCGGATTGATTTATTTTTTGATAAATTGTAGATCCCCCCCATCGCACATCTCAATATTTATATGATTTTATAACAATAAATTATATTTTTTAAGATCAAATAGTGAATGTTGGAAAATCAGTCCCCCTCCCACCACCCGAAAAATCATTTGACCACCATGGTTGGTTTATACATTATATATTTTATACGTATATGTTATGCAGCTATAAATTTAAATTTTAAATTTTTTTCGTGTTGGTTAGGTAAACTTAAACGATTTTACAGATTGTATAATTGGTAAGTAACTTATTCTTATCAAATTGTATGTGTTTACGCTCGTATATAATATACTCTCACCTATGGACTTGCAATATTACTCCTTTCAGGAGTTTTTGATTTATATAAAAAAAATATATTTGATTTTATATATGCACCTAAGACACCCGGAGTAACTAAAACGTACTTACGATAATTATTAAAAATATATTCATTGGAATATCGTTATGTGATTACGTTATAGATATTTGACGCACTTCAGTCGCTTATACACATAATATGTGACAATACAACAACTGTATGTTTTATGTATGTATAGTGTGTATAAATATTCCATTCATATTTCCTTTTGTAGTTTCACAAGGAGATAGTATTTCTTTTTCATTATTTTTATCATTCATTAATGATAGGTATTTGAGGTATTTCTTAAATTTTTAAAATATTCCTTCTCGCCGATGTCTCTAAAATTTATAAAATATTAAATCAATGAATGCAGATGATGCTCTAATGTTTGCTTATCATGCTTTAATTTGATTAAGTTAATTTAAATAAATGTTCTGAAATCAGTTTTCTCTATGAATAAAGCAGATTTACTTTTAACTATATAACTTACATAATTGTTCTATATGACGTTCTAAGCAAAAGTTTTAATATTAATGTTCTACAAATATTTCAAGTTTATTTAAAACGTTTGTGAATGATTTACTCATCTTGTCTTCTTTGATACTAAACTAAAATTAATGAAATTATTAACCATATTAATAAAATTAAAAAGAAAACATCCTCAAAACTAGGTTTTCTTAAACGATGTTGCTCAGAAATTAAAATTTAGTAACATACTTGTTCTATAAAAATATATATATTCTCTTACCGCCCTCGTTTGATCTCACAATTCCATAACACTTGCTCAAAATCTCGAATTTATCCGTAACTCTTTCTTGTGGTTCCTTTCTTTTAAATGTAGAGTAGAAACACTGAAGCCTCATACTGGTTATGAATTATGATGCAGTTTTAGGGTTTTTTGATATGACTTCTCTAAAAAACGGTGGAAACTATCTTAATTTAGACTTTTTATTCAAATTGTTCAGTAACGAATCAGATTGCAGTAACTCTTTTTAGAGAAACTTTTAAATTGTATTACCTAATTTTAAAATAAAAGACATAATAGTTTTTTACATATTCGTAGATACCCTGTAATTTTAATAATCAACTCACCAGCAAGTATGCTAATGCATTAGGTAACTATGATAATTTAGATATATTTTATTCTAATATTAATGATTTTAAATAAATAATGTGTGGTTTATAGTGTACTTTTCTAATGTTATAACTTATCAAATTTCTTTTTCTCCGAATTCAATAAATTAATAAATATTACATAATATTAGGTATATATATATAATATATATATAATAATGTTCAGTTTATTAAAATATATTTACATTGATACAACATATTATTATATTAATTAACTATAATTTTAGATTTTACTACAACACTTAAGTAAACCTTACAAACTAGTAACTAATATTATAACTTCAGAAGTATACAATTATAAAGTTAAAAAATTTGTTATAATAATAACAATAATTAAGCTATTTAGTTTAATATCATTCGAAAATAATTTAAAAGACATTAATTATGTATCCAAAAAAGGAATTAGCAAGTTAAATGCCTATAGTTAATATTTTGTACTCCGCAGAAGATAATGGGATTTTCTGAATTCATTGAAAATGTTAAAATAATATAATATACTTCAAATTCTCAAACGACTGTAATTATAATAGTATTATATTATTATATACAGGAAATTCAACATGTATGAATTATTCCATATTCACCATTAGTATTAAGTATTATATTTCACATTTTCACATATAAAATACTACAACATCGATTGAGTAACTTTATAAAATATAATATATTATTTTAATACCATCCAGAACTTGCATGCAAGTTTATAATTTAGGCATCATAATTTATAAGTCCAATTTATTTTAACTGTATCAATTTATTAAATTAATTTTCGTACGAGGTTCTGGTTTGAATCGAGAACATTGAACGATAATTTTAGATTCTGAGTGGAACGATGAACGTATTGATTTTGCAATGATGTGTGTGTTTTTTTTTTATTTATTTTTGTGTCTGTCATCACGGTTTGGGGCAGTAAAACTGCTTCGGTTTTCTTTAACAGTATCTTGTTCGATGGGAAAGTGAATCTAGTTGGTGCATTCGGGAGGTCAAATTTTAAACTTCCCAATAGTTTTCACGAGCGCCGGGAAAAACAACATACAAATTAGGGAAAACGGGAATTTTTATGCAAATCGGTTTTCCAAAAAATCGATTTTGGTTTTTGGTGTAACTCTAAAACAAATGAACATATATACATTAAAATTTTCACTGGTTGTTTAAATTTGCATTTTCTATACACGATACAATTTTCAAAATATTATGAATTGTTTTGAACTGTTTAGGAACATTTTCATTTTCCATTTTTTTTTAGTTTTTTTTTCTAGAAATATAAATAAAATTTTATTTGTTGATTAAAAAAGCTTTACAATTTAATAGAAGGCTCTTAGTATATTGTTTCAAAGGTACATAAAAAATATTAAAAATCTTTAGTCACAGTTTTTTTTTATAAGCATTTATTGTTCAAAACGTTTTACATCAATAACAAACCATGGTGCTAGTGTAGCGTGCGATCTACCAGCTCGTTTCTGGTGTAGCGTGCGATCTACCAGATTGTTTTTGGAAATATAAAATATAAAAATCATCCACATAATATAAATTTCATTTTAGACAATTTAGTCGTCGTTAATGATATTTATGTCGCCCGCGTATCATCCACATAATATAAGTTTCGTTTTAGACAATTTAGTCGTCGTTAATTATGTATGTCGCCCGCATATCTTCTAAAAATGCAATGAACAAATCTGGTTGACTTTTCCGCCACATCTTCCAGCAATACTGATATCATCCACTCATCTGAGTGAATGACGGAACCACCTTCACATTAACTTTTAATAATAGGTAAAAGAGTATCCTTGTCAATGCGTTCTACGTAAAAATACCTACTGTCATTTCCATGCTTGAGACCGAAAACCCACGGTCCATCAACCCTGGCACCAATATTATCTTTATCGTATTATACAAAAATATAACTTCCCAATTTCCCATACGTGTTTGACATTTCGTTTATTATTATTCGGTTATCGTTATGTATATCCATACCGCATCTGCCAGGTGCATAAGTAGATCATAGGTAGACCACACGTAAGCGGTAGATCGCACGCTACACTGGCACCCAAACCGTGATACTTTCATAGATATATAGTAGTATACTTTAGAAGTTTCAAGTACCCACGAATAATATTATACAATCACAACAAAATAACTAAAAATGTTATTCTAGGTTTTTTAATATGTAATTTCGTCCAAATTTGAACTTAAAATGGCTTTAAAAATAAACTATATGTACTATATTTTTTAAATTTTTTGGTAACAGAATAAACTACTTAAGTGGAATCTTGTTTTGAATTTTCAATCCTTAGATATAAAAGTTGAACATTTTATAAATTTTTAACTACAAAATAATTATTCAATTTTATATTTTATACATTTTGTCAAAATTCGATCTTTAATGCTTATAAAAAAAAATTGTAATTAAAAATTTAATTTGACTTTCCGGTTGAGATTTTTTTTTGATAAAGGTAGATAATCTTATAAGGAATCTTTTATTACATTTTAAAATCTTAGATTTAAAAAAAAAAATTTTTACGAATTCTTAACTCAAAATAATTTGCTCATTTTTGTGATTTTTCCATATTTTGTCAATTTTTGAACTTTAAATGGTTATAAAAAAAAAACTGTGACTAAGGATTTTTAATATTTTTCAAATGTCATTGTAACAATATAGTAGGAGCATTGTATTACATTTTTAAGTATTTTTACTCAACAAATAAAGTTTTATTGACATTCATAGAAAAAAAAAAAAAAGACTAATAAAATTGGAAACGGAAAATGTCCCTAAACAGTTCAAAACAAATCAAAATATTTTGAAAATTTTATTATGTATAGAAAATGGAAATATAAACAATCAGTGAAAATGTCATGTATCTACGGTCATTTGTTTTAAAGTTACACCAAAAAACAAAAATCGATTTTGGGGAAAACTGATTTTGCATAAAAATTCCTGTTTCTTCTTAATTTTTCTTTTGTTTTTTACTGAGCTTTTGAAAATTACTGGGAATTTTAAATTTTGACCTCCTCAATGCACCAACAATATTCACTTTCCCATCGAACAAGATACTGAAGTTGAAAATCGAAGCATTATTTCGACTAATTATCGTGTACACAAACACAAAAAAAAAAATTTAAAAAAAAAAAACACACATCGTTGTAAAATCAATACATTCGTTCCACTCAGAATCTAAAATAGTCAAAT